TATCATTAAAATATCAAATTGAAAGGGATTGCAATAGATTAAAAACAAAGATAATTAGCCCCTTAACTCCGTTTTTTTTTCTTGCAAAAAGAAACAAGAATCATATTTATTTTCTACAGTCTTCAAAATCAAAAAAGGAGGTGGTTATATTGTTCGAAATACTCTGGTTCGACGGCGATGTGTTTTTTTTAAATATAATTTTCAAAGCATTACCTACCTAATCATCTCTATCATAATTGTTTAATAGCTCATTTACACGCCATAAATCCGATAAACTTTTATTGTTATCTACGTGAATCGTGAATATATATACGTGTAATATGAGCTCGATGGCTCAGTAGTTAGCGCGCTGGGTCTGCGATGCGGTTATTAAGCATTCTCACAAGGGACAGTCATAGGATGGGTGACCAAAAATTTACTATCTCGAGCTCCTCCATGCTTCGAAAGTAGAATCGGTCATTAACATGCGCCAATCCACACTGGGCTCGTTTTGTGGGGGTAATTTCCCATTTCCCTATTCGTTTTTATTTTAATTCCAATCGTAGGGAAGGCCTAAGCCTCAACAGTGAGCACATTAATATGCTGACGACGATGACGTAAAATTTTTTTTCTCCTTTTTCCTGTTCTCTATGATTTTCAATATTTTCTTGGCAAAAAGTAAATCCTCGAAGAATTCTCCGATAACAATAATTGTTAGTGCTAAAGAAAACCAAAAGTGAAGTGAAACATTTGTTTCAAATCGAACAATAATCGCTCATATTGTCAGTTACAATACAATTTGTTCGGAAACTGGGCGCGTGAGGGAAATAATAACAAATGATTCACGCCCTAACGCCGCGTGGCGTTGAAAGATCACGCCTATTGCTTTCATTTTGATGAAAAAAATACAATGCCACGGATGATATCAACAACACGTAAAAACTTCTAGTAGTTATCGTCACGCTTTTTTCAGAATCCGCATTTTAATGAGCTTGATTATTAATAAACGCGACTTGGCCCGAATATATAATAAGTTAAGTCACCCGCGTATGATGTAGCTTACTATGGGCGAAAGAATTTTCAAAACAAGTCTAGTACTTTCGAAGCCTATACGATGCATACAACTAATTAATCAAATAAATATTAGTATCGACAAAGTCTGAAAAATCCCGCGGTATAAGCAGCCGGAAACAGCAAACTTCATAGAACTCCTTAAATATTTGTATTTAGGTACTTAATTAACAAACCTTTTTTTTTCTTGCAGTGTTTGCTTGTAAGAATTATAGTTGTTCTATTTTTTCAAAAATTCTACAAACACTACTTACGAAGGTAAGGATTTGAGCTCAATGGCACAGTGCTTAGTCTGCGATATTTCAGTTATAGGGCAGGGCGTTAGATGGGTGACCAAAAATTTATTATCTGGAGCTCCTCTACTTCGGAAGACACGTTAAGCCGTTGATCCCAGCTGCATCGGTACAACAGTCGTCAGTAGCCGTCCGTAGTAAACGCGTAGAGGGTAACATCTCGTTATCCGTAAATGATGTGCGAGAGACGTCGATGTACGTGTGTTCAACCGAGTAATTTTGCATACAAGTTAAAATGATAACGCATGATTAGCTAAGTTACATCATTTTAAATCTAATATGAAGGCCAAGTTTCAAGATGGTGACCTAGTAATATGGGTATCAAATGAAACAGTTCGCTAAAAGATTACGTACATTAAAATAAATTTAAATCCAATATGGTGGACCACCCAAAATGACGAATTTATTGTATTTTTTTACGCATTTACATGTGACGGGTTTGGTGCTTATTGTTGGTTGGTAAATGAAATGGCTGACTTGATATCTTATCTTCTTATATATATAAAAAAAAATGTGTCACGATGTATGTATGTTGCCAATAAACTCCAAAACTACTAAACCGATTTCAATCAAATTTCACACGTACCCGTATTTTGGTCTAACTTACTGGATAGGATAGTTACCATCACAATTATTCGCTTATGTCGTTAATGTAAGCGAATAAAATGTAATAATTAATTGTTTCTTAAGCAAGTGTTTATTTACTGTTTAGTTTTATGAAGTTCTCATAGATGGCGATGTACGATGATTCATAGATAAAATTCTTCAATATCGTTTTACATTTAGGTTGCAAATACACCCAATAGATGGCGCTGTGTTCAGTTTCGTAAAATTTTTGTTAGAGAATTATTAAAGTTTTGGCGCCAAATTTTAATCAAAGTTTAAATATCGCGCCATCAAATTCTATCGAGTCGCCAAATAACTGTTGAGAAAGTTGTAAATTTTAATAAATAAAAAAAAGGAATAATTGGTCAAAATCAATGTTATCTACCTCATTTATAAATTTTAGTTTTTAAATATCAATTATTTTTTTTGTATAATTGTAAAGAAGTCATTGTTTTTAAAGAAAAGATAAGAAAAATAAAATCTAAATTTAAAAAATTATACTTTGAAATAAATTAAAAAAAAACACGCTTTTGAAACTGATTGAACTAAAAATTTAAAAATAAAACTGGAGTACTCAATTCTAAAATTCATATTGTTGTACAAAAAGCGTGGGGGGCTTGATTTTCATTGCTGTAAATATTTTAACGATAGTTTAGTATACCTGTAGTAATAATAATAAGCACCCCACGCATTTTGTACAATAATATGTATTTTTCAATTGAGTACTCCAGTTTTATTTTGAATTTAGCTAATTCGACTTAACCGGAAGGGTTTTATTTCCTCAGTTGCGATTAGAGAAATAAAAAACAGCAGTACGAAGTTCGCCGGGTCATTTAGTGTTAATATATTTGTTGTCTAAATAAAAAACTCTTTCTTGGGTTTATCTAGGAGATACGATGCAAATTTAGACACTACTCTTTATAAATAGATACAACTCGTATATCTCAGCCTAGATTTTAAATGAACACACTTAAAATATTTTATTAATTTTCAATGATGATCGTAATGTAGCTGAAAGAATGTTCTACGAACTGAGTATAGAACTGACATTCAGAAAGAGCATATCGCATTACTCAAAATTTCGAATTACGAAAAATGAATAATAAAAAAGAAAATATGTTAAAGATCAAAGACAAAAAGTTTGGATACGGAAATGTAGGACAAAATAAACGTTATGGTACGGCGCACCGGTATATACATTTTACGTTACCTACGAAATAAAAGGGTGCTCTTAGAAGTAAACGATAAATGAGCAAGTATTTAAAAAACTAAATAGTTTTTATTGTTTAAAAATGCCTTAACCTACTTAATTAATGAAGCGAAATCTGCAGGGGCACCCTACTATGGGCGTACCTGAGGGATCGGTAGTAGGACCGTTGCTTTGTAATTTCATCATCATCATCATCAGCCCTTTTACGTCCCCACTGCAGGGGCTCAGGCCTTCCTTATGGATGGTTAAGGAGGATAGGCCATGACCCTCCACGCTGGCCCAATGCGGATTGGAGGGTATTAACGACTGCAAATGTAGCCGGGACCAACGGCTTAACGTGCCTTCCGAAGCACGGAGTAGCTCGAGGTAATAATTTTTTGGTCACCCATCCAGTGACCGACCCTTGCGAAAGTTGCTTAACGACTACGATCGCGGGCCGCGGCGCTTATCCACTACGCCACCGAGCTACTTTGTAATTTACATTAATTATATTCCTCACTTTATATAGAATTTGTGCGAGCTAGTATTATTTGCCCCTCTTGAGTGATGACACCTCTTGAGTGTTTTAAAGTTAAGAGTGGTAATGATTATTTTGACGATGTAAACTGAACGGACTGTTGCCTCTCAATACATCAATAAAAATATTATGTACGCAAGAATACATTACTATTTCCTCGCAAAAAAGTTATTGATACTTTTTATATAAAAGGTAACATTAAAAATATAAAAACGCCTATCTAAATAAAAAAAAAAAAAAACAAACATACTGAAAGTCTCAGAAAAAGAGATTTTGTTTATTTGCTCGACATTTTTTTTTCCAATTATCGATATTCACATTTTTAATATTATTATTTATCTTTGTCGTTAGTGTATATATTATTTGCCCGTGTATAAATAATTAATATTTTCAAGCGATAAAATAAATCTGACACTGATATAAAATATGTATAATGATACGAGGGCTTTTATCAAAATAGGAATCGGAGTACTTTTTAGCTACGGAGTTAGGTTTCGATAATCCGAATTCAAACCCGGAATTTCGGAGTATATTTTCGTAATATAGAGCCTACGCTCTACCTAACATTTATTTTACACTTCGACAATTCGACTGTAGTGCCTACATAATCTTTGATAGTGATAGTTCTTTTGCACTATTTGTAACCGGAGTTAAATACTGTTTTTTTTTTATGACACATTATTTATTTTTCTAATTAAAACCCAAATAAATTAAAAATGTATACTTAAGAATGAAATGTGACCCCTCGGTCTTTAAATAACTTACATATTGTTCTTATAGTTTCGCATAACACAGGAGAGCATTTTTATAATTATTATAGTACATAAACGCACACAATCAACGCTTTCGCCAGACTGCGCTCAGGTATGCTAATAAGTATAGTTTTAAGGTGAAATTTTTTGAATTCAAGTAACCTATCTTATTCAAGTACCTTTTCTTATTTTAATATCATTGCTTCGCCGTCGAACATATGACGAACGATTAAAAATACAATGATGGCTAAGTATTTACTTTATTTCGGTTGTTATCAGAAGTTGCCAGAATTACAGTATAAGGGGGCTTGTCGCTTTCCTTTGTCTGGACGCTGAGATCTTTTAAACTACACAACGGATTTTAATGCAGTTTTTTATCAATACATAGAGCGATTCAACAGGAAATTTTATATTGTATAATAAAGGTGGGACTACGCGGGTTAAAGCTGCTGGCATAAAGCTAGTACTGAATAATTTATGCTGAATTTAGAAAAACAAAACCGTTTACAAAAATTAAATCATGGCATTTTACTTTTGGCAAATAGCCCTTATTACGTTATTTAAAAAATGCTGTCAATGTCATTACCTGTTTACTTGTCACTGTCAACGTCAAAAATCGATATTTTTTTCTCTGAATTTTTCAGAAGTACTTTATTTATTGTGCACAATATTAATATATATTTAGTGTGCTATTTTTACTGAAAATAATCCAAATCTTTTACCAAAATGAGATGGACTGTTCACATTGATGGTGGGCCAATGCGTGTCAATCATGCGGCAGTTTGTATAGGAAACAAAATCTTCTCTTTCGGCGGATACTACTCATCTGAAGAATATAAAGATTGGGACCCGATCCCCGTCCATGTATTAGACACTGTTACGTTGCGGTGGTCAGCAGTTAATTATAAAAGGAATGATGTGGTTCCATTTCAAAGATACGGTCATACAACAGTAGCTTATGGAGACAAAGTATGATAAAAGATTTCCTTGCGTACTGTCCCATTTATAGGAACAGGAACAATAAAGTTTTATAATCATTTCAGGTTTATATGTGGGGAGGAAGGAATAACTCTGTTGCATGTGAAACACTATCATGTTTTGATACAAAAACTTTAGAATGGAGTACACCATCAGTAACAGGGATGGTGCCGTATGCAAAAGATGGTCATTCGGCTTGTCTTATAAAGAATAAAATGTTCATTTTTGGTGGCTTTGAGTATCTTACTGACCAATATTCACAAGAAGTTCATTGCTTGGATTTGGACACTCTGATTTGGACATTTGTAGACACAAAAGGTACACCACCTTCTCACCGTGATTTCCACACGGCTGTTGCAGTAGGTAACAGAATGTATGTATTTGGAGGTAGAGGAGATTTAAACAGTCCTTACAATTCACAACAAGAAATATATTGCCCTCAAGTGTACTACTTAGATACCTTAGAAGATAGATGGGTTGTTGCTAATCCAAGTGGTAACTGGCCAGAAGGAAGACGCAGTCACTCTGCCTGTAAGTTCTATCAAGTATTTTCTAATTGCGCAGTAGTGTCAATTCTGTATGGCATTCTAAAAATAGCCTAAAATTTCGATTTTAATATTTTCATCTTGAACGTCATCACTGTGTAAATCACTCACAAAGATAAATGTCTCAAATGTGTGATATAGAAGCACATTAGAGACTACTTTGGCTGTAGGCACCACTAATTGCTGTGAAATAGAATTGTCTTGAGTATGTAAGCAAACAACTAGTCACCTTTACTAGTTAAAAGCATTCATACCAGATATGAGTTACACAATAACACCTTGCTTTGTAAATGTTTTCAGGGATCCACAATGATAGCATGTACATCTTTGGAGGATTCAATGGAAACTCAAAAACTCATTTTAATGATCTCTATAGATATTCTATAAAAGAAAATAGCTGGCAGTACATAAATGTAAAAGGGTCTGTACCCTGCAAAAGAAGACGTCAGGCTTGCCTCATTTACCAGAATATAGTTTATCTATTTGGAGGAACCAGGTGGCTATTTTGTTGTTATATACAACCAACAACAATCAATTCATACACTGTCTATAATTAATTTATCTTTATAATTATCTCATTTTTACAGCCCTTGTCCTAACCAAAATGTACGACCAGCCTATAATTTAATTGATAATGAACCAGAGAGGCTAATAGACAACAGTGATCTGCATTTGTTGGACTATTCTCCATCTCTTAAAACACTTTCAATCCTCACAGTTTTAGAGCATAATCTGGATCAGTCATCTTTACCAAGAGACATAATGTAAGTCTTGTAAAAGTTTACAAAAATGTATTTAGTCAATAGAAATTAATCCAAATGATAATTTGTTGTACTATTTGTATTTCAGAATTGACATCCACACTATGACATTGCCAAACCGTATAAGTAGACCTATAAACCAGTCTGGCTGATAATTTCAAGATGAAACTATTTATTATTAGTTTAGAACCATTAACTTACCTTTCTGGATTGGTTAATATAAATCTTTATTATGTCGGTATGTGATAATGGTAACTAACTTGTGATGTTTAATGCAATTTCTAATAGATTTGAAATTACACTATATTCAAATGTATTATATTTTTTATAATAAGAATTTGGTTGTCACTTAGTTAAAAAGATTATTATTAAGTTTATATAGCATTAGAGACTAAGCATGTGAACACCACATTTTCACATACCCACATTACAGCGTATGTGACTATTATAAACAATATATTTAGTTTCCCAAAATCAGATAGCTGCTTTTGACCGCTGCATTCATTAGGCCTTGTATTCACGGTAAAGATTTATCAACAAATTTAAATCAATGTGTCGCCGAGATGCCTTCAATAATCTGTGTTTTTGCAGAAACAATGTTGATCTACATTTGCTCGACAAATATTTACCATGTATAATAACTGAGTTTAAAAAAATAATATAACGAAACACTAAAATGCTTAATACTCAACAACTGGCATTATGTAAAAATATTATAATCATATTTTTGAGTTTGAGTTTTTGCATAGCTTATTGTTACTTTATAATTTCTACAAAGATAAAGTTTCTTAAAAATTAAAATAAGTCAAATAACGCCCTACCTTAAGAACTGATCTGAACTGACCTATAACTGAAGGAATATAGTAGAAGCTCCTTATTCACGAAAGTTACATTCTATAAATATGCCTAGAAAGGCATTAGTATGAAATTATTGGGAACATGTTGTAAAATTTATAAAATACTAGCAATCTGTATTTTGAAATAAATTAGCTATAAGAAGGACCTACCATTGAAATTGTAATTGTCAGCTCCAAACTGTAAAGGATCTTTAAGGAAGATTGATAATTACTGTAGAATTCATATAATAATTTACCTTTTTAAAAAGCAGTTTATGTATGTTATAGTTTGTATAATGAAATCGCAAAGTTCAAATGCCATTTATAAAAACCTTTCATCCAGATGTCTAAAGTAAAAGGTTATCTCGGTAGTCATTGAAGTACCTTTTTTGGTGAAATATGGATTAATTACATATAAGGTAGTCATGAATCAGAAGCTTCTACTGTAAACCCTAACAAGAGACATGTTAAATTTAAGATACACTATGATAAAAGCATGTATGAAGTCACTATTGAATCAATAACTTATGGAACTTCGGAGATCTCCATGTAGTGATAATATGTAATCAAAATTCAGTATTTGTATTAATTAACAGAGTGCAAATTCTTTGCAAAATTTTTCCTGATGTTTTCATGAATAAAACAATGATGATAAATTAACAATTCCTTTACTCATCTTCTTTAACAATGTGTTTGTTGCGTTCTGCTACATATGGTACTGCACCATGCTTGCTATGAGAGCGTCTGTTAGCCTCCTTTCTCTTATTCTTCTCCTTGATTGTACGAAGTTCTTTTTGTGCATTATAAATGTGTTTTGGAACATGTCTATGACGAGCGATTCGCCTAATTTGTGGATGATGTGCAAACTTCTCTTTTAATGCTTCAGAATAGTTCAACGCTGTTCTCTCGCGAGGTTTGAGCTGTAATAGTTAAGTTTTTCATTAAATATTTTTTTAAGAATAATTAATAACTTAAATTAATAGTTTATTTTGTCTACTATTATACTTACAACGCCAAGTTTTTCAGAAGCTCTAGCTTTCCACATTCTTATGTTCATTTCATCAGAACCTGACAATATGTATTTATTATCCAAAGACCATTTCACACATGTTAACCTCTGCATTCTTTTAGTGTGATATACATCCCTAGAGTGCCCTTTAAGTGATTCAAATATCCTGACAGTTTTATCATAGCTGCCAGAAACAAATTCACGTCCTGTGGGGGCATAATCCACATCTATAACTGCTGATGTATGATCCACATGGATGTTTACTGGGTGTTTTAGTTTTCTTACATCAAATGTGTATAAACTGAAAATATAAATTTTAGTTCTAATTTAACTTGTAAATTATCAATTTATTTAGAGAAATGTACATAATCTCAAACACTTACTTATAATCTTCATTAGCTACAGTAAAAATGAAGGCTTCCATAGGATTCCATGATAGACTATTTGGTCGTAATTCCATAACAACTTTTCTGAGTGGGCCTGATTCTCTACTATCATACAAGATTATACTTCTGTCACTAGCACATGCAGATAATAGGTTTTCCTCAACCTAGAAAAAAAGCCTAGTAATGTAACTTATAAACAAACCTAGAATTACATAACCTCTTGTCTCATCTTTTAGTTTTCAAGAAATCATTACTAAAATATTCTCCATTTACTTAAAAGTAAGTCTAAATAGTGCAAGTTCTAGTTAAGTCACTAGAACCTAGGCACTATACTATTTTAAACTAAATATTTTCTCGATCTACATTTCAATTTTAGTACATAATTTATTATAATGTAGGTATATATGTAAAGCATAAACTTTGAATTCCTTATTTGAAATAGGGATTAATTCCTTATTTGAAATTTTTTGTTTGTCCATCAGGCAGATTGTTGAAAAATATTAAACACATTTTACATAATCATTAAATTATGGGGATACATTGAGTTAAAATATCATATGACATCACACTTTTTTTATTTTCTATAAAACTGACATAGTGAGCCCCCACTCAACGTTAATGCCTATTATCTAAGCTATTCTTGTTAAATTATCGTAAAAAAAATATGTATTCTTAATGAAAAATCCACTTTATCCCTAACATTGAGATTGATGAACTAAGTAGAATTTCTTTTTTTTTAACTAGTCATCATCTCTTTTCTATATGAACAAGAAGTATAATAAAATATAATTTTATTATAATAATGCTTAAAAGATATTTTAATAAAGAAAACAATACAAGCACTACCTATAAAAACCTGACACACTACCATGCATGTAATTTTTTTATAATGACACTGATCGGGTTACCACTGGATATAATTAAAAACACAATATATATAAAAGTAACAGTACCTGATTGAAGGCAACATGATGAAGACTATCAACACCCCATTTAAATATTTTTACAGGTTCATTTCTTGTTTTTTCCCACAGTTGGCAATGTTCACCACATGTAGCAAATATAGGTTTTGTCTTATGATGACTTATACCATATACAACAGACATACTAAGCAATGTGTTAATAGGTTCCTCATCATCAAATGATTTTGTTTCCGTCTTCCAAGACTTAATTGTTTTGTCATCCCCAACACTTGTAAATGTCTCTCCATCAGGTGTAAAGCAAAGAGAACGAACCCATCCCTCATGAGCAACAAAATTTCTTGTACATTTACGAGATGTCAAATCCCATATCCTTATTTCACCATCAAATGCACCACTGGCTAGAACAGCCAATCTACTTGGGTGTTTAGCTAATGAAGAAACTCCATCTTTGTGTCCATCAAGGTTACCAATAAATGGTTTTGCGAAAACACGCTCTAATTTTACGGCATTCAGGGCCCGCACATATTCGCGAGGTGCTTCAAATGGATGAAGACTTGGATCATAATTTCGTGGAACTGAAACAACAATGTCATTATCAGATATATACTCTATACTTATGTTAATATAAATGTAGGCTCAGACGAAATAAAGTAAATAAAAACGAAAATAGATTCAATAATTTCGGATCCTATTCAATACAAATAAATAATCAAATCTTTCCTGTCTAAACAATATATTTTTATAAAGTACACTGAGAAACAAAGAATCTATGTCCTTACGCTTGTGGATATCCTTTTTCGTAGCACGTAAATAATCTTCTGGGTTTCTGCTGATTACTTTTATTTTCACATTCGACATATTGACTTCAAATCATTCAAATCAATTTTTCATACTTTTATCACTCTTCTATGATTTGTAAATAAATTCCACACTTCCGATTCGTAACATAACCTAACAAATAGTGATGGTCAACTCGAGTTAGTTCGAGTTGAGCGTAACTGGAACCCACTCGAGTTGAATTCTCTCAAACTCGAGTACGTAAACCGAATGGAACCGACATGGAGCGAAGTTTGCCAATCATTTGAGTAAGACTGTGATGTTCATTCAAACAAGTGTCAGATAATAATTTATTATGTAGATTTGAGGTTAATTTTAACTGCTGTTCTGTTTTTAAAAAATGCCAGGAGAAAAAGAAAATCTTTATTTTGGGATGTATTCGAATCGTCATTGAGTGGATGTGTTGCGTGTTAACAATGTTCAGATTCAGTTCAGATTACCCCCGGTCAGAGGAGACTCCTAACTCCTGACATTTATTACGCAATTAGTAAATAAAATGAATATCCGATGAATTTGCCACAGGCCTCAATCGCTATAGTTACGCCACTGCTTGTCCATCTAGTTAACTCGAGTTATGTCGAGCTATGTGGATTTTAACTCGGGTTAAATCGAGTTTTGTTTTTTCCGAGTTGGCACATCACTACTAACAAACCATGTCTATGAACAAACACGACACTACAAATAAGTCACAGAACTAAGTTATCAAAGAGAAAAATAATACAGTGAAAATTATGCTAGCTAGTCCCAGTGTTGCCAACTCCTAACAAAATAAAACCCTAAAATTAAACTCAAATAACCCTAAATAACCCTGAATGGTATAATCAAAAGCCCCAAAAAGGCCTGTCCTGCTTATATTACCCACAGATTCAATAGTAATGTTTAAAAAAAGTTTTCAGTTTTATTAAGGTGAACACAATAGACCTCAGTTTTAATTTAATTAACTTTATTCGTTTTAATTACTTAAATATTTTAAAGTGTAGCGATGAAAAGTATGGATGTATAGCTATGACTCCGAATACAAACGCCTTACATCCAATAATCAATTTATTGCTTACTTCACAAGGTGAATCCTAAAGCTAGTGTCCGCATCAATTATATTCAATGAACATACGAAGTTGTACAATTAATTATTATTTTCAATTTAAAATTATGTTGACAAGCAACCGCCGTAGTCCATAGAAAAAACAAGAGAATATTATATATAATATATGAAAGAGTAAAAGTAATAGATACTGACTGGTCAATGAATAAAATCTATGAACTAGTGTTCTAGGAGTAAAACTGCTAATGTATGTAAGTGTATATAATATGTTGGGAGAAGCCCACAAAAGTAATTAAAACGAATAAAGTTACAAAAAAATTTATAGGTTCTACTTCTTCACTTTGGAAAATAATAATCACTTGAATAACTTTTTTCAATTCAATTCTTAAAAGTAACAATAAAGCTTTTAAAAAAAGCAGCTACGGTAGATGTTTTATAATATCATGAAATTGCTCTGCCACATGACAGTTGTCCTGAGACTTAGCAAGTGAAAATAGTAATTTTAGCTCACCCCATTGTTCTATAAACGTGCTGATAGCTACGTAACGTGCCAGCCACCGCGTCTCAATTAAACCTTGTATTTTTTTTGGTGATAGATTATTGTTCCTTAATTCATAAACATTTCGATACTTTTTTATCATGTTTAGCGCTGTAGGTTAACCCGAGGTATTTCCTACAGAAATTGCTGTCCAACTATTAAGTTGGACTGCATTTTCTTTTGTATATTGCAAACGATGTTAATTTATCTATTTTAAACAAATTTAAACATTACCTAATTTATTTTTTATTACTAATTTATTTTAATTTTTTTGGCACTAAAATTAGCCCTAAATTTTATTGAGCTCCAAAAAAAAGCCCAATTACTTTATTTTCGCCCTAAAGAACAATGGCCAAAATGGACTACGAAAAAAAAAGTTCTTGTACCAAGATGGAACTATTACCAAAATGTAGTATAAGTTGAATGTTATTATTATATACCAACAATTTATTTTTAAAAGCTGGGAAAAGAAAGATATTCTTCTCTAAAATAAGTCTTTATTTCTTAGAACGCAGTTTAAATTATGTTATTTTTGAACGCATCTTAATAATAATGTCATTCCTAGAGAAGTCCCTCTCTTTTCAAAGAACAAGATCGATTTTATTTCTGACTAATCGAATTTGATACAAAGCTTATATTATTTACTAACCATATAAATCCGTGAAAATTATGAAACTTAGATTAGATTATTAATATAATTAGATGTTATTTAAAGGAAAATAGTTTATTTATAATGAAATTAAAATCTAATGATTAACTATAAGAATCGATATTACAGTATTAAATCGATTTCGACTTCCCTTTTTTAGACAAGTATGTGTAGACGTGTTTCTACGCAGATCGTTTTGTAACTTTGGCGGCGATTTTGTATTAACTTCTGTATTATGGGGAGCATACTAGGTTCCATGGTATACTGAGAATTGAGGTCTGTAGAGAAATACCGGATTCTCTGGATTTATTAGAATTAGACTTAATAAATATAAATAAAGTCCTAATTATAAGGGGTAGAATTGAGTCGAGACATTGGGAGGAAACAATATTATGTGTATATTTTAATAAATAATTACACATCCGGGTTAGATGGCATAAGAGAACACTGCTGTAATTGTTTTATTGGTCGATGTACACTGGGATGCTGTGCTCATATAATGACCATAGTTTGGTATCTTGGATGGGCTAGACATGAACAGAATGTAGCTCCTGCAGCATTCCGTGATGAGGTATTCATTAGAGTTGTAATAAAGAAAAGAAAAATCAACATGTTTTGCTATATCCTTTTGACATTAGTATTTTCACTACTACTTTATATTAGTTATAGTGTAAGATGGAAAAGTAGAGTTATTGGAGCAATCTTAAAAATTCTATTATTTTTTTGATGTTCATTGGTTCACAAAAAATGATTTTATTTCTTACAGTCAATAAAAATAATATATCAGATATGGAGCAAGTTTGAAGTATTATGTGAAAGTATGCACTTCTAGGACCACGATTAGGCATTATCTGACGTGTGCTTCATATATTTCAAATGTAATACCTCTAACTTAAAATGCTACAGTTTAAATAATACGACATAACCTCAAAAACATATTACACAATTAATCGATACTCCCAGCTTTTAAAAATATATTTAATGTCTTTCTTTATTCTAGTTGCATAGACAAATAAAATAACATATGTTTCATCAAGTCACGTTTTATTCGATTTTACTAGTCCAAGCATGTTAGGCAGATGGCCATTGTTCTTTGGGGCTAAAAGCCCTAAGTTGGAAAGCCTGGCTAGTCCTGTGTTACTTGACTCACACGAGTGAAAAAGAATATTACTCGAGTCTTATTATTCTCGTGTTATCGAGTCGAGATGATTATTGTCACTAGATGTTACTTCGCTACTCTAATATAGTTATTTATGCTGCTTATTTTTTATATTCTCGATTTCTTAAATAAATAATATATCAGATCTCTTTTAATGAGTATTTTATTTATATTATATAGGTATTTGTTTAACTCACTCGAGTAACACGTTTTCGATTTTTTTACTAGAGTGAAGTAATGACGAAAACGAAGTATTTAAAAAAAAAGTTAGTTCCCGAAATCAAACTAGATGTCACTCGCGATGTTTGGATATTGTCTATGAAAGGGGTCTCCAAACTACGGCCCGCGGGCCAAATCTGACCCACCAGTGTCATCAATCTGGCTCGTGACAGCCAATGATTTATTATTGTTACTATTGCTGCGATAAGTTGAAGAAGAAAACACTTCACCTTTTTCATAGTTTACTTCATCTTGGAAAAGGTTTTCTCACACAATTAGGAAGTAGTACCAAAAACAGAAAATAACCTACGAGCAACTTATGCAAATTATCAAATTGTTCCAATAGAAAACTCTTATAAAATCTCAGCAAAGATGAATTTAGATATTTGTTCTTAATCATATTATTGCACTGTAAATCAATAATTTCCATTTGGATTTCTGGAGCCAGGGTTTCAATGTCAGAATCAAAAGGATTTTGAAAAAGCTTTCTTTCATTAGCAATGACATCAAAATCTGAGAAACGAGTATCAAAATTTGTCTTCAAAACACTCAAAGTTTCAATTGCAAAATTGACGGGAAATTCAGTCTCTGTAGTGTGGCTGAATATTTCACATGTTTTAAAATGTGTGAAACATCTTTTACGTAATTGCGATTGAAATAGTATTATTTTCTGCCTGAAGGATTTGATATCTAAATATATATATGACTCATAGTTAACTGACTGACATAGTGATCTATCAACGCACAGCTCAAACCACTAGACGGATCGGGCTGAAATTTGGCATACGGGTAGATGTTATGACGTAGGCATCCGCTAAGAAATGATTTGATCAATTCTATCCCCAAGGGGATAAAATAGGGGATGAAAGTTTGTATGAAACTTTGTCAATTTTATAACTGACCATAGTGTAAATAGCTTAACTTTGATTTGACAGTGACAGATGACAGCGCTTAGGTGCGATTTTTTTTATTAAAAAAATACTGTTTATTTACATTTTTTTATTGTTGTTGTGACGAATTTATTAATAAAACTATACTATCGTGCCTTTATGATTGAAAATGTTATATAATGTAACATTGTTAATTAAAAAAACGTAAGTACCCCATCATATCTCGTGGTTTTGTTAGTTTAAAGTTGCATTTACAATTTACGGCTTTCAGTTGCCGCATTATTGTCTGAGTAGACTTAAGAATTATAATCCTTTGATCAGGATTTCAAACTTTAAAACTCGTACTTAAACCTTCAGACTATGTTCTCACATTATCTCTTGGGCTAGCAGTACCAAGCATCCGGATAAAGCCAGACATACATAAGCTTTTTAATCACATGTCCGACTAAAATAAACCGTTTCCTACTTGTCCGGCTTTTGTTGGTCTTTTTACATTCTGTAAACTTAAAATAAAGTACCTTACTAAAAACTGGTTTGGCATTCGATTTTATTTAAAATTTATTATGTCATTATATGTGTTACAGATTCTGTTAGCAAAATTCATTGAAATAAACTTCATGTATAATAAATTTACTAATTAGCGTTATTAAGCCTTATCAAAATTTTTTTGCACTTATGTTCAATGACAATCGGTTATTATGGTTGTATTAGAACTTTATTGAGATGGTATAAGATGAAATAAGAAATAAGCTGAGTTTCTTTATTTTGCAATAACAAAACAAGTGCTATAGTATTGTGTATTAACCTAGAATTGGATACACTTCGTATACTCCCATGTAAATGTCACATCAAAGATAACAGATATCCAAAAACAAAGATTTTGTGGGTTCTTAAATAACAGGGCCCTCCTATTTTAAGTTCCCACAGATCTACACTACTACTACTACAGATTGACTTCACCGGTACCAAAAACAGAAAAGCCGAAAGGTGCAATACCATTTTGTCTTTTTTTGGTAAATTAAGTTATTATTATATAATAATTATTAAATATATAATAAATATTTGCTATACTAATTTTAATCCTCATATATCCCTCATCCCATTGTGTTATATACAATCATATTACAAATAGCATATTGTAATTGTAAATTTTCCATGAGGTGTAAAATGATTTAATAATAGGTATATAAAAAAGTAATAAATTGTCAATTTCTTAAAATATATTATTTTTTGTCTCCGCTTAAAGAAACTTTTTTTAATCATCTACAATCAGTCAAGCAGCTATAGTAAGATTGTTTGTCATTTTTGTTGACAATTTGGGTCGTTCACATCCTGCTATGTGTCACCTCATATACATAAGTTAAAACAGTTGTTTACAGAGTGGCTATCCTCTTTCTTTTTAGCTGAAAGGTGGATATTTTTATTATATAACAGCATTACAGCAAGCTGGTTTCTATGATTTTGTAGCTTTTGTTTATAGACCATACAAGACCTTTCTATATCTTCGTTGATGGTTGAAAACTGTAAGTATTCAAGTACTTCAGTATTCCTTGTGAACCATATTGCACTGCTTAGTGTCTTTAAGGCTTTATTTTTAAAGTGTTGCAGTATTTCTATGTTGGAGGGACTTGCAGATCCCCAGAGCTCTATACCATATGTCCATATAGGTTTTATAAATTGTGATTTTATTCTCCAGACTAAGTGAAGATCGTCGGCCAACCAGCCAATACGTCTCCATAAATTTTTTGTTACCCTGCTCCCTTTTATTTTTTATGTGTTCGCGCCAAGTGAGCCTTCTGTGATAGTAAGTTAAACTGGAACAATCACATATAATACAAAATTAAATCAGCGAGCGTCATCCTGTGGTAATACCGCAAAATGGTTGGGAAAACTCATCAGGCACAGGGGCTGGTGTATTTTCTGAGGATCTCAACATACATCTGCTCTTGCTCCTTAGCCCATACAATACAGTCTTCCAGGTTGAATGTATGGCGAACACCCTGGCGGCGAGAGCGATAACTACAAGGAAGGTAACAGGTTCAGAAATCCGGATCTTCTTGGACAGTAAATCAGTCCTACAGGCTCTTGAAGGAAGTTCTGTCCGATCGAGTCTTCTACAGGAGTGTCACCAGGTTCTAAACATGGACACTCCATATTATTACAATCTAATGGATAAAAGCACACAGTGGATCACGTGATAATGGATGCAGCTGATGAACTGACGCGCAGAGGATCAGATGCAACACCAATGGGCCCCGAACCGATCATTCCTATCAGGATAAGCTGATTAATTGGTAGGATACGTGATACTCGAATAAACTACATCAACAGTACTGGCACACTTTGGGTTTCCAAAGGTAGGCCTAACTTGCACTACCTCGAGTGAACGCCCTCCTATAGCAAAGTAAACCATATTTGCGCCTGATAACGGGTGCTATTACTGGTCATGGCAACTTTAACAGGCACCTTTTCAATATAGGTGTCACCAACAACCCCTTGTCCAGAGGATGCATGGAGGCGGAAGAAACTCATGTCCTGCTGGAATGCAACGGAGTGGCCAACTACCGGGCAAAGCACCTCGGCTCGCCGGGTAATCTCGAGGAGAAGGTGCTGGGACTGTTTCTGGCAGAGCTGGGCTGGCTGGAGTAGTATCCAGCCACACACCCTCCACACGCAAAATGGGCGCAATTTAGTCGTCGAGTTGCGGAGACGCCCGTTGAAGGAAGAAGAAGAAGAGCCTTCTGTCCAAGAAGTATTTTACCACAACAAAATACGGTCAAATATCATAAAGAAAGATGATGCAGATTGTTTTATGTATTTATAGTAATTACTATTGTTCAGAAACACTTGTGAAAATTTTGTCTGGTTGGTCTTAATAATGAGTGATTAAACATTGTTACTCTTATGTAAATATATTTTGATATTTAATATGGCTTTCAGAGACATATATAACACATACAATTGATATTAAATATAGAATTATCATAATTTATTTATAATACTGAAGTAGCTATCTTCATATCGACACTGAAAAGCAAATATAACCTATAAAACCAAAATTTAGAGTAGAAAATCGTCATATTTTTCGAAAAAGAAACTTATTTCCGTATGAACTGATTTAGGAACACCTAATTTTTACCATGCACATTTATAAGAATTATTTTTAGAATTGAATTAAACATTTTCTGCTCTGTAGGACAATTTTGATTATGCGGGTTACTACGTGTTTGTTTTCCAGCGTTGCTATTTAAATTCAATTTACATTAAATAAATTTGCATAAATATTACTAAATTGGTTTGTATAACATTAATATATTTTAACACATTCAGCATTATTTACTATACGCACATTAGAGTGTGGCTCTGATATATTTGACAAACAATTTTATGAATAATTCTTTAATTTATATTTATACAGAAAATTATTAAAAATGCTGCTCATGTCTTGCAAACTCTGCAGTACATATTTAGAGCTTTTAGCAAGTGAATTTTTAAGTAACGCGCTTAACAACGAGTAGTATGTTTTAAAAAAATGTGGTCTTAATATTTAACCACAGTCACTAACTTATTATATTTCATCAATTTTTCATTCACAATGCTGAAAAATGCTTAAAAAATCCACTTTGTCCCTGGCATTTTTCATTAAAAATCAGTAACTTATTAAAAGCTTGAACGCAAGAAGTTACCGAACTACTAAAAAGCTCTGCTAGCATGCCACGCAATACAGTAGTCCATATACGTTATTAATAGAGTTTAGTCGTCGTCAGTCTGTCATAAACGTTAGATAAGGTCACCGGTACGTTGCTCGCTAGTTGCTGTAGTCGCCGACAGTATATTTTGTTCGTTGACCCTCCGAGGCGACTGCATGCGCCAGCGCAAACCGCATTACAAATTCGGCAGTATATCACGAAGTAACTAAATCTCTCTGAGAAAAGTGGTTTAAAAATTGTATTCTGTGATTTTTAGTCTGATTTGAATAGAAACTGTACCTTAGGTAAGATCACCGTTTTATTTTTCTTTATTTTTATTCTTTTTCTTTTCTTTGCTGTAATGTTTTGGTGTTCTTATTCTCTTATTACTATTTTTGCAAGATAAAAGAATTAGGCTAATCACTATCATTGCTTGATACGAAATGATCTTCTTTGGACGTATTTTTTTGTGAATGCCATTACGTATAAGTAGCACAGTAACTGGTCATTCATTGTTTATCATTTAAAACAGATTGATAGTGCGGCCTTTCCGGAATTGGTACGTGACAGACCTCACAAGTGGCACGTCTCCACATGCCGTCGTTCGCTATTTAATTGAATCGTTGCTGCTATAGACATTATCATAGATACTTATCAGTGTGGCGTGCTTAAGATTGTGTCAAATTTTGTTTCAAATAATTCAAATTTAAAATATTTCGTGACGGTTTGCTATCTTGCGGCATTCACTATGTTCAGATTATTAAAGTAAAAAACAAATCGTGAAATTTCTTCCAAAAAAAGATATTAAGTAGGTGTCTATTATTTCGAAAGATAATATTTGTATTATAGCTCATTAAACTATTAAAAAATATATGCACCATTGTTTAGTGTAATGACTTCGATCACGTATTTATTGAGTGACCGATATTCAGGCTCACAGGACCCACTGTATACATACACATACGAAAAAGCTCGTGTTATTCCGTTGCTTTCTGAGTATCATGGACTATATTTCTGATTATATTAGTATTAAAGTGTAAGCAATCAATTCACACATTTTTTTATTAACATTGACCGACAAACAAATGATTTTATACCGATGAACAATACACATACGGGTTCACAGAACCTCAGTGAAGAGTTCATTCTCACCATTGAGCTTTGTGCTGTGAAATTCATCACAATACCGGCACCAGTCACACCGTGAGAGCGGAGACGGAATTATTGTTGCGATTAACAAACATACATGTTAAATAACAATAAACAAATAAATGGAGACTACATCTCAGATTTCAAGATGAGGAGCTAACCTATCTGAGACAGCAATAGGACCACAATACCCAGACCAGATCGGGAATAAATCGCGAGATCTAAGATGGCGAGACCTAGAAAACGGCGCGCGAACAACTTGGTTACAGAATAAGCTTCGCAGCTTATGCATAGACTTCTCTATCTAGAGCATAAATACTTCATACGCACGCACCTCGCTTATTATTCCAAGAAGTTTTAAAATCGGATCAGTAATTTTGGAATTTATTATCAATGTGCAATGGAAGCAGCGTCAGGCTCTATTAGTACAGAAAAAATGCTTTTCTTTGGGAGTCATAGTTTCTTAAATAGACGAAATTTCGTTTTTCGAAGAAATAGAATATTCATACAGGTGTCATGTTAATTCGTACGAGTAGTACAACTATATTTACCTGATGCTTTTTTGTTGCAGATGAGCTAGGCGATACCGATACAATGTTTACTAATATGTATAGTCTGCAGATATTCATCTGCTTTTTAATATACGTCCTTCGTTCTGGGACACAGGCGGAACTTTTCACCGCCATATCAGAAGTAGAACCTTTGCTAGAAACGCATAAGCGAATAATAGACGATCTCGATCACTATATACAACAGGAAGAGAAAAGACTTGCAACTTTAAAAAAGTAAGTATACAGTTTATATTCGATAAAAAAAAATATAAAGATTCTTGGTAGTATAAAATTGAAGTTAATATACAATTTTACAATGTTATATGTATATAAATACTTTAAAAATATATGTATCAATTAATTTAAAACATTTACATGAGAACTTGATACATACAAAATGCTAAAATTTTATTATTAATAACCATGATTTAATTATCCTCTTAATTTTATCTTAATTGTGTTAAAATTAAATAACTAACATAAATAAGTGCACTAAAACCGCAATACTGTTGGAAATAAAATATATCACGTGTATAATAAAATCATTATTGGTTTAATAGGGTTTTTTTTTAAATTTATTAAGGACAACAAACAATTGTACAATACACGTTTCATAAATTTGAACAGTTAGAGATAAATAATAAATTGCACAACCAGCACCGTTATCCACAAAATAACTGTAAAACCTAATAAGGGATAATGTTTGGGTAAAAAAAGAATTTATTTTTAATCCGTAAGTCATATACTAAAAAAATATTAGATACGTATTTTTTCGCTTCATAAATTGACAAGAAATGGCTTAGATAATATGCATTAAACTTAAAAGAGTGGCTCGCTAAGTCACAACTATCTAGAAAATGTACTAAGGTATGACGTCATGCGACATTTTAACTTAATATATATCTGTTATTTATTGATTTCACGAAAATTAAAAGCGTATTTAATATTTCTTCAATAAACTATCTGACGAGCAGACTAAAAAAATAATAATTATCCTTATTATACGAATAGTTTGTAAACATATTAAATTCGTTAATTTTCTTTTCATAGGCAATTAAATATTTACAAAAGGGAACATGAGAACGCTATGGAAGACATTCCTAACTATTTGGGTAACCCCATTAACGCTTTCACCCTGATTAAAAGACTTACAGCTGACTTGGACTATATCGAGCAGACCATCAAAATAGGAACAGGTAAATGAAACTTTGTATGAAATATTATTTATTAAAGTAATTTTAATAGCCATATCAATAAATCAATATGGATAATAAATATATTCTAGTCGGTAATTTATACATTCAACACAAAAATCGTTTGTCGTGTTTAAAATCACGGTAGCTAAGTTAATTTATAGGCCTTGTTAGATCACATGGTTGAATTAATTTTATTTATATTGTACAAATTTATTTTAAACTAGCTGAACCCGGTGAACTCTGTATCACTTACCTCTTAATAAAAACCATATTAATATTAAAAAATAATGCGTAAACTGAACACAGCACGACCACAAATATTGCTCGTCAACTTTGACAGCTAAGAACAGTTTGTATGAGAAAATGAAATTGTCGTTTTTAGTATTATACTCGCAATTTTTTTATATTTTCTCATCGTTTAAACGTTCCCAGGACTTCCACGAATATTTCAAGACTAAAATTTGTCAAATCGGTTCAGCCGTTCTCGAGTTTTAGCGAGACTAACGAACGGAAATTCATTTTTATTTATATAAATAATAACGGGATATTGTTTATTTTGTCTTATTGACGCGTAGACGCGTATTTACTATGTTGTCGATTAAATTGTCATTCCCATTTGCTTGTTTTGAAATTAAGGATATTCCAATTGATTCGGATACTGAAATAAATAATATACACGATTCTCGATTTTGCCTTAGTGTCAATTAATGTCAATTAAAATACCCCCCATCTATTTCGGGATGGTACTATGTCCTCCTCTTCCGTTCTTTCTAGACTCACACCATTGATATTTATATACTTCACAGTCTATCTTCTTCTTAATATATCATTTCTCACTTGTCCATTGTCATTACTCCATTAGTCCACGTTAATCATCCAATTACGCTTCATCTATACAATGTCTATTTTATTATTTTTAATTTCCTATCTTCCATGTTTTGAATATTATGAACTTCCTACAGATTTGTAGATTCTATTCTTTGATAGGTTCTACTCCCATGTTATGAGTCAATCTAATAAAGTATTATGGGTATATGTTGAAACAAATGTATTCTTCTACAGAGTACATAAAGAATATAACAATGACCCATGAAGACGTCAAGTACCCCACACTGGAGGATCTGACAGGTGCCGCGCAAGCGCTCACGCGGCTCCAAGAAACTTACCACCTGAACGTAAGCGAACTAGCTGAGGGTGTACTCAACGGAGTCACTTATAGGTAAGCTGGCTACTTTGTTTTAGTATATGGATCCATCCAAATAGACGGTTTAGCCGGGATATTGCTGGCATAGAAAGTAATAAATGAAAATAATAAACCAATAAAGAAAAAATACAACTATTAGGACATAAATAAATTTTTATTATTGTGTAAAATGTAAAATAAAAATGTTATTATTTAAAAAAAAAATATATATATATATAAGAAACAAAAAACCAGACTGCGTAAAAATGAATTTTAAAAGTACATAAAAAAATTTACGTAAATAAAAACTAAAAAGAAATAAACAAGCCCAGCAGTTTAGAATTCTGTTAAGTAATATAGAACAGAACGACTCACAGTCGGGGCCCGTTCAAATTTTACCAATGAAATCTTCCCAAGGGGCCCAATCAAATCTTCCCAAGTTAAAACTTGTAACATTTGTGTAGTTATTTAGTATTACTTAACAGAATTCTAAACTACTGGGCTTGTTTCTTTCTTTTTAGTTTTTATTTAAGTTAATTTATTCATGTATTTTTTTAAATTCTTAGTTACGATTCGTTGACTTCGTTATAAGATGGTAAATTTCGCAATCTAGTCATTTTTTGAGGGTGTTAATGTCGTTGGTTAAACAACTTTAAATCGTTATATATCCTAAACAATTATTTAAAATGAAACATTATAAAAGGAACCTGAAGATGATTTTAAAATACCTATTCAACGACACCCCACAGACATAGTTCATCGATTTTGTTTTTCATTTTGACAATATGGGCGTCTGGTTGTCGCTGTGATCAATTTTGATTACTGTCATGTCTTTAGTGACACTCGCAAGGTTAAGACGAATCGATTGACGTAAGAATCATCAAAATCGGCCTACGCATTTGGTCTCTAGAACGTCATATAGAAGCAAACATACATACATACATAGGCTGATAAACACATTACCCTCCTTTGCGTCGCGCAGTTGGGTAATAAAAGAGCCAAGGGCTGTCTCCTTAGCGTTGCTATACTGTTATGCTACGGTGCTGCCGGGGAGCTTTAAATTACTCGTAACAGGTTAAATAACATCTTTTATGTTAACCTGTTACGAGTAATTTAATTGTATTGTAATTTAAATCTATTGTTTCAGTAGCTATATATAACTGTACCAAATTACAATTGTTACAATAATATACTGCAAAACTTTTATTCGTTGCAACAATACTCTCATTAAGGTTTTAAAATAAAAATTCCGTTTAAAGTTTAAATACGCAAGTACCGTTCTGCTTACAAAGTCGCGTCACTCGACGATGTTTAAATTATATTATGTTTTATTTGTTTGGGACCAGACATAATTTTGTAACATACGTGTTAAGCCAAAATCGAAACTGGTTTTCCTGCTGCGCCCACGACTTTTGATGACATCGTTAAGACATCGATTTACTTTTACTGAATTAACTTTTTTATATAAAGAATAATTTTTTTAAAAAAGTGTTTAGAAACAAAATTTTGTGCGCACTGAAACGTAAATAAAAAACTAAAAATAAAATACGCAAAATTTTCCCTTACGGTAATTGACTTGAGAGCTTGTAGCGGGTAAAAAATATGTGTATTCCCTTGTCTCCGATTTCATTAATGCTATTTATGTTTTTATATACAATATTTCAATAAATATTTTAATTTTAGTTTGTTATTTACGTTTTAGTACGCACAAATAGAAGCTTATTTTAAAAAACTTTTTTTATTATATTTTTATTTTTTACTTTTTAGTTTTGTCTCAATATGTTGTTGTTTTCATAATGGCGGATCCAAACAACCCAAACACGATGCAATTGCGTTATTTCATTACTAACTTTCCATGACTACCTTTATATCTTCATCCTTTGATTGTCATCAGACCTAGATCTGGAAAGTATCCAGCACCAAAATCATCATAAAGACGGATCTAACGACCCAAGTACGATGCAGTTGCTTCATTTCATCACTAAATTCTAATGACCACTTAAGTAAGGATGATGAAATCCAATTTATCATCATATCAGCTTACTGACACCATAATTTTGTATTGTCATCTGACTTACATGTCTATAAAAAAAATGAAATCTATCGGACATTGGAAAGTGGGTCAAATTTGAGTTCCAAGATTTGTGCACTAACATACTAACGTTAAGTTAAGTTAAATAAAATGAACAACGATTATGTGAAAATATAATATAATCGGTCTGATAAATAAAATCACAATTATGCGCTTTACTTTTGACATTATATTTAATTAAAAAACTAGCTGTCCAATTGAACGGCTGTTTTAACAAGTTGGCTGCGACGTGTTTATTCATTCGAGTGGTCGATGAAAAGTGTGGGCGTAATTAAAATAACTATGTTGATTATTCAACATTCCGTTTCGAATTATCATAAAATGCGACTTGATCAACTACTTATTTTTAACAACATTATTACTTAATTTAACAATTGTTTACTTTTATCTTTTGGTGGTACTAAACCAGTCTCATACGAGGGTCAAACTGAAAGTTCTTAGAACTGGCCACTTATAAACAATATAATAAAAAAATAATTCTAAAATTTGAAAATATAACTCTTTGCCAATATTACTGAGTATATATTTCATTCATTTGTCATTTGTTTTACGATTTGGCGGCAAATTGAAAATTGTCTGTGTCACGTCATCATGAATTTAACACGAGAAAATTTTCGTGCAATGATTTTTTATGACTTTCGATGTCATTTAAGTCAACAAGAAAGTTATGATAGACTACGATTGGCCTTTCACGATGAAGCCCCATCTCGTGCGACTGTTTACAACTGGTTTAATGAGTTTAAACGTGGTCGCACTAATCTCACTGATGATTTACGTGAGGGACGGCCTTCTACGGCGACGACTGAAGATAACATCTGTGTTGTGCGGCGTATGATAGAGACTGACAAAAGAGTGACCTATCAACAGATTCGGACAAGCTTAGGCATCGGTATGAGTCAAGTGCACAAAATCCTCCACGAACATTTAGCGGTCAGGAAGCTTTGCGCCCGGTGGATACCTCATAATTTGACTGAGGCTCAAAAACTCCATCGTGTGGATTGGTGTCGTAAAATGATTGAAAGATTTAACGGAGGTGACTCAAATGCTGTGTTCGACATACTTACAGGTGACGAAAGCTGGATTTACTGTTATGATCCTAAAACCAAAAGACAATCTGCTCAGTGGGTGTTTCCTTTCGAGGAGTTGCCAACTAAAGTGAAGAGAGATCGAAGTGCGGGAAAAAAAATGGTGGCCTCGTTCTTTGGAAGGATAGGTCATTTTGCAACAATTGTGTTAGAGGATCAAAAAACAGTTTCTGCAGAATGGTACACTACCAATTGTTTGCCACTTGTCTTGGAAAAAGTTCGAGAGAAACGACCTCGCAGTAGGATCCTCCTTCACCACGACAACGCCTCGTCGCACACCGCCAAGCGAACGATCGACTATTTGGCGACATCAAACGTTGAATTACTGGGTCACCCGCCGTATAGCCCCGACCTCGCGCCTTGTGATTTTTATTTATTTCCAAAAATTAAAGAAAAACTTAAAGGAAAGCGGTTTATGAATGCTGAAGAAGCGGTGGCTGCGTATCGCGATGCCATTGAAGAGACCCCTAAGGACGAGTGGGCAAAGTGCTTTTCCCAGTGGTTCCATCGCATGCAGCGGTGTATTGACGTGAATGGACAATATTTTGAAAAGATATAATAAAACTAATAACTGGCTAATGTAATCAGTTTTTGATTTTCTAAGAACTTTCAGTTTGACCCTCGTAAACTGTTAAAATCAACAACACGTCATGCTATACGAAACTGAAAATTTTCTACACTTAATTTTAAACCTTAAAACTTTAATGTTAGAGTTCAAAATCAATTGTCATATTGTGACAAAAGAATTTCGAAAATCGGCGCTGTGGTTTCAGAGTCTTGTCGGTGGAAATAAATAATGACATATTTCCACTACATATTATTAATAAAGATAAAAAAATGTACATTCTGGCGTCTACAATAGTATAAGTATATAGTAATCTGGAAGCCTATAAGTCAATGAAAGGATCTAAACACCTTAATACAAAAAATACATATATATAAAGTTTTCTTCAAATATACAGGTAGAACAAAGTTACATCCCTTAATGATTATGTCTTATTTATTTTAGTACACCAATGAGTGCTGGAGATTGCTTCGAGCTAGGACGAGCTCTTTACAACGATGAAGATTACAAGAATGGCTTGGCTTGGATGTTAGTTACACTCCAGAAATATAGGGAAGAAAATGAAGTGTACTCTTTCAATGAAACTAATATCTTAGATTACATTAGTTTTTCATACTATTTACTTGGTGAGTTTTTTATATTGTGGATATATATTGAGTATATAAATATAAAATACTTTAGAGACCCTACTCGACTCGATAGATGCGGTTTAGATATGCTACGATTTGTTGTACTTAAGCTAAATTAAACCTTAAATGCTTGAACTTAGATTGAATATTTTTTAATTTTTGCATGTATTAAATTTGTATAGAATAGTTGGTTACTAAGAATATCTAATAGTTACTACGGTTGATTTGAAGGTATAATAATTTTATAGGTGATGTAAAGAATGCGTTGTTGTGGACAAAAAAGTTATTAGAATTGGATCCCAATCACAGTCGAGCAAAAAACAATGTACCTCACTACCAGAAGGCTATTGCCGCAGAAGAGGCTAAACTAGTCAAGCAAAAACGAGGGGTGAGCGATAAAACTTTTTTACTTTATTTTTAGACACTCATATGCAGAAGCGACTTTAAAAATTATAAGACACCAGGCAGTAGAGTTTACCACGGACTTTGTCTATAGAGCAAATTATGTAAATTCAAATGCTTTGGTATTTCTAATCATTGAAATGCGTTTGAGACATTGTGTATTATAATAATTAATTAATATTGGTTATAACTATTCACGGGTCATTAAGCGAATAACCCCTTACGTACTAGTCCAAAAGCGGCCCTGTAAGTATATTAGCTCCCAATTAAGGCCGCCGATGGTTCATGTTCTGATAAAGTACTGGTTAAAAAGAGAAATTTGTTCCAACCGATACTAAAAAAAAAATGTGCTCACTTTTTTCTCTTAAAAACGTGAATGTAACGAATATTTGTATATCCTTCAAATCGTAACATATAATTTTATTTAAACAATTCCGATGTATAGAGTATGATTTGAAACAGTGAATGTTTTATACTGTACTAGCTGTTTTCCCGCGACTTCGCACGCGTTAATTATAGCCCGTATGATGTAGCTACCCGTAGGTGAAGAAATTTAAATATCGGTCCAGTAGTTGGTGAGCCTATTCGATGCAAATAAACAAACATACAAACAATGAAATATTTCCTTTTTATAATGTTAGTATAAACAAGAAAACTTCACAGAGACCTTCAAAATAATAATGTAAGTTATTAGCTAAATTAATGGAAAACCACAACAAACACAAAACCATACTTACAGTGGTTTACCTGTCAACTTAGTAAATACTTTAGTTGCAAAACACAATGTTTTCGTGCACGATCATCGCATTCATCGCACGACTTACTTTTGGTTTATAGAGTTATAAGGTATATTTAGTATGTACGAGGTAGCACGAATGTTAATGGCTTATTTACCTTTAAATATACAGTTTATAGTGACGTGAAATAATCTCAAAAAGATTTCAGATGGATTATGATTATTGTGGAAGTACTGAATCGACCACAAAACTACTAACATACTTTTAATTTTTAACAAGAAAGGGTACATATTCAAAAAGAGCGGGATAAAAGTACAACCGCAGCTTTTAGTTAAAAAATAAGAACCAATATACTTTTTATATACGCGTTTCTGGTGGTGATTCGTTTTCTGATATTAAACCATTTTCATTTAAATATATACCGAAAAATAATATTCCTTATGATTAATCCTACTATTTGATGATTTTTAAAATAAAAAATAATATAACGTTTTCATTAATTGAATCGTATTTCTGTGACATTTGTATCCAATGAAGTAAATATTTGTTGAAACAATAGTATTTGAATACAAGTCCAAAGATCAAATATTATATGAAACATTTACTGCAAATATACTCTATTTTTAACTGACTTCAAAAAAGGAGGTTGTTCTATTCTGTGAAGCAATAATATAGCTATTATTTTACTATTCAGCTTCTTGTGCTTCTTACCATATTGAATTTTCAAAATCAATTAATATAATGTTCAAACACACGATCTTTATTTGCGAAAATATGGTTACAAGAAAGTTCAAAACATAATTTTTGTTCTTTTTTTATGTTAAAGTTAGTTTTTGTTTATTAATTTCAGGATGTCGGCGACGATTCGGAACACCAGAAAGTGACTGTCACCGAAGAGTTATCTGAATTCGTGAAAGAAAAAAAAGTCTATGAACATTTATGCAGGGGAGAAATGGATATTCCTGCTGAAATAGCTAAAAAGTAATTATCTTCACATTAACTATTAATAAAACAATATAGGTATTACGGTTAGGTGATAATCGTTAGGCAATCACATAAATTATTATATTTTCAAGTACTTACGACCATGAATTTAAAGTCTAATTCTCTACTGATCTTTCTAAAATGATTTCTATTTACATGTCAGTTATTTTTTTAATAAATATGTAATAAAACAATATGCGAAAGACGATATAAAAGATATTCAAATAAAGATTATTATTATTATTGCCATAAGACTGACAAAGTAGTTAGGTACTAATGACTTTTTGCAAGTTTTGCACCGTGCTACATCCTTTCAATACTTCTCAAAAGTTGAATAGGGATGACGACTGAGTAAAAAAGAAATTCTATTTAGTCCGTCAGTCAGATAATAGAAAAATATTAGATACGTATTTTTTTCACTTCAATTTAACAAGAAATAGTTTAGATGACAGACATTAAAGTTGAGTGGGGGCTCACTACGTCACAGTCTTGTAGTAAATGTACAAAAGCGTGACGTAATGCCACATTTTAACCCAATGTATCGCCGTAATTTAATGATTACACAAAAATAAAAAATATGTGTGTTTAATATATTTTTCAATAATCTACCTGACGGACAAACAAAAAACAAATAGTTTTCCTCCCTATTGTAACTGAATGAATGGAATTGTTTTAAATGAAATAAACATTTTTTTAAATAAAAAATTTAATCAGTTTACTACGGAATTAATATATAGTTACGTGTTATTCAGGTTACACTGTCGTTACTTGACGGAGAATCATCCGTTCTTGAAACTGGCCCCCTTCAAGATGGAGTACGCTTACTTGAAACCGGACATTGTGATATTCCACGACGTCATGAGTGACGACGAGATCAAGTTCATACAGGACGCTGCCAGACCTAGGGTGGGTTGGTGGTGGAAGTTAATTAATTCAAAATCAAGTTATAAATGTAGTATTTTAATTATATTGCAAGTTTTCAAGTTGTCGTCATTCTGTGGCTCAATGGTCGCCAAAAATTTTTACCTCAAAAAGTGTCATATATTAAAAAAGTTTGAAAAACACTGGATTAGGGGTCGCCTATTGATCACGTGATGTTTTTTCAGCATTTTTAACCCCCCCTCTCCCTTGATTATTCATAGTGAAGTTTAAGACTAGCCTCCTCTGTGATATTTCGTGATCCAACCCCACGTGATTAATGGACGGCCCCTTAGAGTAATAATTCAATAAACTTGGCGGGCTTAGGAAAGCTCGATGGCACGGTGGTTAACGCGCTTGGCTTTCGATACGGTTGTTAAGAAACTTTCACTATTATGAGTGACCAAAAATTTATTATTTCGAGCTACTTTGTCCTTTAAACCATTAGTCCCGGCTGCATCTGTAGTCATTAATATCGACCAATACGAACGGCGCTCGCGTGGTAGATTATGGCCCACTCTATTCAATTTCCGTCGATTCCATCCATGAATAGGCTGGTGATATGATGTGAAGCTTGCCATTTACTCCGTTAGTACAGCGACGCATTCGTTCACGAATGCGAAACATCAGCGAAACTACGCGAATGCGAACAGGGTTGTCACGTTTGGAGAAACAAAACTCGTGACTTTCGTATAGTCATCAGAAATCGGGACGGGTGGCAACCCTGAATTGTAGCGAAGTTTTCCGCAGTTGACTGGCAAAGATGCAGCCATGTCATCGAGCTAATAATAGAGCAAGAAAAGCACATTCGAAACATTGCCAAACAACAAGATTTCGCAAATGTTTCGCATTCGCATACGATTGCGTCGGCGCACCGTTACCTGACATTTATTTCGTCGCATGTTCAGTTCAAACGTGCGGTGGTGCACGATCCACGTACCGGTAACCTGGTACCGGCGCCGTACCGTATCAGCAAGTCGGCGTGGCTCCGTGACGAGGAGTCGCCAGTGGTGGCGCGAGTGTCGCAACGTGTGGCCGACATTACCGGACTCAGTATGGATACCGCCGAGGAACTGCAGGTGGTCAACTACGGCATCGGTGGACATTACGAGCCTCATTACGACTTTGCTAGGGTTAGTACTGATACGCACGATTGGTTAGTCGACGGTGATAACAATATGTAGCCGACATCACTTACTCAGTGTGGACACCCCTGAGGAACTGCAGGTGCTCAACTATGGCATCGGTGGATATTACGAGCCTCATTACGACTTGGCTAGGGTTAGTACTGATACGCACGATTGGCTACTCGACGGTTATAACAATATGTAGCCGACAATATATCACTCAGTGTAGACACCGCTGAGGAACTGCAGGTGGTCAACTACGGCATCGGTGGACATTACGAGCCTCATTACGACTTTGCTAGGGTTAGTACTGATCCGCACGATTGGATACTCGACAGTTAAAACAATATGTGGCCGACATCACCTCACTCAGTATGGGCACCGCTGAGGAACTGCAGGTGGTCAACTACGGCATCGGTAGACATTACGAGCTTCATTACGACTTTGCTAGGGTTAGTACTGATACGCACGATTGGCTACTCGACGGTTAAAACAATATGTAGCCGACATTATATCACTCAGTGTAGACACCGCTGAGGAACTGCAGGTGGTCAACTACGGCATCGGTGGACATTACGAGCCTCATTACGACTTTGCTAGGGTTAGTACTGATACGCACGATTGGCTACTCGACGGTTATAACAATATGTAGCCGACATTATATCATTCAGTGTAGACACCGCTGAGGAACTGCAGGTGGTCAACAACGGCATCGGTGGACATTACGAGCCTCATTACGACTTTGCTAGGGTAAGTACTGACAGATATAACAATATGTGGGCGACATCATCTCACTCAGTGTGGACACCGCTGAGGAACTACGTCAACTACGGCATTGGTTACAAACTAGATGTCGCTACGGTACTTTCTTGATTTCTCCATGACAATCCTTCCGGTTTTCTTCTCATTTATAAGAGTAAATTAATTTTCAAAACTCAATAAACAACTCATATGCCATTTGTCCTTTTCGTATTTGTATTGATATCTTAGTTTGGAACTTTGCAAATTTCAGTTATGTAATATGTTAGTTAAAAGGAACGGAAATTACAATACTTGGTCTATTTGTTTCCTGCAAAAATATTTTTTTGGAAATTCGCCATCTAGTGAGGTGCTTTTTAGTGCTTTCCTTTTTTTCTTAAAATACTTCCTCATTTTAAATTTGTGATTTTTATCTTAAAAAGTAAATAAACTGTTTAGTAGCTACAAATTAAGTCGAAAAATTCATTATTATAATGCATTAAGCAACTATATTACGTGTTTACGTTTATTTACAGAGGGACGAAAGTGCTTTTAAAAAATTCCATGGAAATAGAATTGCCACTGTGCTATTTTATGTAAGTATTTTTTTTTTTCACTAAAATAGCTAAATATCAATAATTTAAATTTAACACGATTGCCAAATTCCATCAAAACAAGTTGTATTATGGGTAGGCTAAACTAATTTTCATTGCAGTCTTTGGACAGTTCTGTGGAACATTTGAAGATAACCAAAGTTGTTCAGGTGTCATGTTTTATTATGATTTTTTTTTATTACAGTTATATATTTTTGATATCAAGATGTAATTTGATACCCATATTGACCGTTTTCATTAACCTTAACCCAAATCTGACACCTAAATATTTGGGCATTTTCCAAGGTTCATTCACCAATGCAAAGGAGTCACCTAACGACTTTAAGCAACGCTTAAAATTATAACATTCATTGTGCGGCGCTTAGCGCTGGGAATTTGCTTAATGTGACATTATACGTTTACTCTTTGGCCACAACGGATGTGTCAAGGGATAAAAAATTTAGCAAGTTTGCATCAAGGAGTTTATATATTAGAATTAAGTTATAAACAAAGAGATAAGTTGCATTTTTGGACTTTTTATAAATGAACTTTGGTCTCGTGTAAATATAAGATCACGTATACTTTATCTTGTTTTATTACCTCAAATATAATAATATTACGGAGATGGCTAGCGCAAGGCGCGTCATATAACGTATCTTATGACCTTACACTGTTTAATGTCGTTAGGTAGTTCCTAGTCTTTAGTGAAATGCTTTTTCACCTTAGGCGATTCCTAAATATTTAGAAGACAGATTTCAGCGACCCTAAGTTTAGTGAAAACTGCCATTATTGTCAAGCTGTGTTGTGAAGCGATATTGCATATCTTGTTTATTATAGTGTTATACTCACAGGCACAATTAACCGGATTTTCTAGAATATTGGAAAAACTATTAAGACTGTTCAAAAACAAATTTTGGAATCTAACAAAGAAACATTAAATTATTTGACGTTTTTTATTTGCTAAAACTATTTTTATTTACGCTACCCTTATCGTAATGAAGATGATCGATACGAGCTCTATAAGAAATACCACTCCAGATCATTATATTCGATATCCAGTTTTTATTAAAAAATATTAAATTTTCAGTATTTTTTTTGCGCATATGCGAGTTCGATTATTTATAAAAATCGCATTCGATAGCTTTGTTCATTTGCAAAATTGTATTTTATTTTATTGTAATTAAGAACCAGTACTTGTTTAAAAAAAAATTTGGCTCATAAAAAGAGACAATAAATATTTTTACCCTTTTTTCATTTGATGAAATGAACAAATTTATTTTTTATCTTAATACTTTTTTAAATAACCAAGAAAATACGGTTGGGTGGTTAATTGTGCCTGTGAGTGTATTGCCTGATATTTTTAGACAATTTAAACAGTACTGAGTATGTGATGAATAGTTTTAACAAATAAATATGTTAAACCAAACAACTTTAAACGGTATCAGCGCGTTTGTATTTGCTTTTACGACGTTTTGTACACTTTACAGAAAAAGAAAAACAATCGATACCTTAGTCTTAAGTGTTGTTGTTTCATTTAACGAATAATGCGCGTGAAAATATAGGAAATCGGTATATATATATTTCTAAGGTGTAATATTATTATATGCCAGGTCTTCGTGGAATGAATTAGTTAAGTGTACTGAACATTTTTTACTACTTAAGCAACAATGAATTCACGAAAAATTATCAGCTGTTTCATACAAAATTTGAATACCTACAATCATTGAAAGTATGAAACAGCCGATTATTATGTGTATTCAGTGTTGTTCCCATAGTAAAGGTTGTTCAGTATACTTAACTAATCTGGCATATAATAATATTATACCTTATACCTATATATATTGTTTGGTGTCACGTAAAGATGTCCGATGTGGCACAAGGCGGTGCAACCGTGTTCACGAAGTTGGGCGTGAGTTTGTTCCCTATAAAGGGCGCGGCCGCGTTCTGGCTGAACCTGCACCCGTCCGGGGAGGGAGACCTGGCCACCAGGCACGCCGCCTGCCCTGTGCTCAGAGGATCCAAGTGGGGTCAGTATAAGTGTCACTTAATAGTAGTTTATGCAACTGTCATATAAGAAGGGGTATTAAAACACGAAAGTCTGTTTATCACGAGAATATGTTTTTGAGATAATAGGTTGACTCGAGTGTTTTAATACCTAAGTTATATGCAGTTTCATACACTACTTTATCTTCACTCATAGGAAAAATTGAAATTAAACAAAGTAGGTAGGTTACAAGGAAGTGATTTTTTGGAATCATAATATTTACTATAAATATACATCATATTGATTTCTACCATGTACCTACCTTGTGTTTATTGAACTGAAATAAAAACAAGTTTCATGGTAGCAGCTTCCGTTTTAGTAATCGTTCTGATGTTAATGACCTTGTAACTTTATAACAACATATTATACATATAGGATTTTGATCAATTCAACCCCCAAGGGATAAAATAGGGGATGAATGTTTCTATGAAACTTTGTCAATTTCAAACCGATTGGGCTGAGACTTTGCTTGCATAAAGCTACTATGACTTAGGCAACCCCTAAGAAAGGATTTTGATCAATTCTACCCCCAAGAGGATAAAATGTGGGATGAAACTTTGTCAATTTTAAACCGATCGGGCTGAGACTTTGCATGCATACATTTACTATGACGTAGGCATCCCCTAAGAAAAGATTTTGATAAATTCCACCCCTAAGGGGATAAAATAGGGGATGAAACATTATTTCAGGTATTTTACACGGTGAATGAATAATTATTCGTTAGAAATGCTGCTCAAAGTAATTATACCACGCGGACGAAGTCGCGGGCAAAAGCTAGTCGCTTATAAAACGTTTATCTTGTAGACTTGCATAGATACAGAACTATTTTATTTAATTAAAGTATTTTTTAATTACTATAACTTACAGTATCGAACAAATGGCTTCATCAGGGTGGACAAGAGCTGCTAAAACCGTGCAATCTCGAATATCAAGGTGAAGCCGTCATTAGGCCGATACCGAAACCCGTTCCGAAGACCTCCAGGTAGACTAACAACTGAAATCAGTGTGAATGGATATTAAGGATTAGTAAGAAATTTGTTCCATTTCGAGATTCAAATCTTTCATCAAATATTTCTAAAACAAAGGCAAAGAATCTCTACTTTATCTCAAAGAAAATAAAGTTTATAACTAATTAAACTTTTTTAAGCTTAAGTGACTAATATCGTGTTACTATACTATAAATTACCCAATAAATAAATTAGATCTAGTACATCAAGTTCAAAATAGTTTTTTTTTTGTGAATGTGCGTAAGATGCTATTTAAGTAAATTAAATTAATATTAGTGAACAACAACTCCAATAAAGCATTGTGTTCGTTTGTTGAGAAGTAAATGTATACGTAAAATAAATATTATGGATCTTGGAATTTTTTTTTTAGAAAATTTGCAAAAAAAAATAACAGTTTTGTTAGTTATCGAAAAAAAACTGAAATAATTACCTCTTAGTTCCAAGCAATCTTCATTCTGCAAATGTTTATAAGGATAGGTCTTCTGATCCTATTAATTGTAGAGTACAGAAAAAGTTTTATTTTTCAAGTATTGACAGTCTCAAATAAGGTCTGCTTGTTTGGTACCTAAGCCGCAATAACATTAGCGTGATGATACCGTTCGAAACCCGCGGCAAATCTAAATTACCAGTATTCCTACTATTACCAGAGGCGGCGTTGCGCCTGGAAGCCATAGTTATTCAAAAAAGTTTAGAATAGACAATAGCGCACATAATTTTTTTTACAATTAAAAAAATATGCGCATCATTCCCTGTAAAATTATGTTTTTCTTTCGATTTTTTATGAAGAAACTTTTTTATTGAATAATCTAATATTTTCGAAAGGCCTCTTTGCGCCATTGGAGGTCTTCGTAAAATGTACCTTACCCACGTTAAATTTTGATCTTGCGCCGCCAATGACTATAACGGCCCATTTGTTGTGTGACCTTTGTTTGATCATCTTGCCACTTTATATTTATGGTGGCTCTATTGCAACAAATCGAAATCTCTATTAAACTACTATTATTGTTATAATTATCAACAGCCGCTGAATATAACCTATTTTGCTTTATTATGCATTAATAACCATTATGTTGTCTTGCCATAAAACCAATACTTAATATATAATTAAAAATAAAAAACATGGAGGCTTCTAAGTTTGCCAGAAAATTGTTATTCCCAACCAGTGTTAATCTATTTAAATTATATAACATATTTTAGTTAATATTAACAAATAATTTGAATGACATATCGAAATGCATTTATTATGTTATTACAGTTTCTATCATGACATTAGATAATTTATTTTTATATTTTTTATTAATACAAAAATGATGAACTTATGTTAGCCATATTACGTGATAATTGTGATGTAGATGACTATATTTTGTTTACAATTGACATCTTGCCACTTGTACTGAATAAGTTCAAAAATATTATCAGCTTTTTATACTCGTAATGTATACAATATTAAAACAATTAACTAAATATATCGCCATAATATTGTTTTAATAATAAAGTATGCTTATATTTAGTGTTATTTAATTTCATGGTGACATAATTTTTTATTTAGGAAAATAAGAAAAATAGATTAATGTCGCTTATGTGATTGTCGTGTTGCGTAATTTAAATTCTGTATTATCTACTCGTAAACATAGATGATAAATAAAAGAGGACCCAAACACTCCCTTGTTTCTCTTCTGTCATATCATAACTGAGTGGCTTATTGAAATTCAAAGATGTTTTGATTGAAACAAATATGTTAATTAAATAAAATCCAATTCTATTTTTCTTAAAAAGTAAATTAAATCAACGACATTACCATACTATCTCAAAAGCAAAGGAAATCATATAAATATTGGTGTGAAAAATAGACAAATAACAGAACATAATGTTTGTTCTTAACATTGATATACTGAGAATGCGTCGTAATGACCTAATAAAGTGATAAGAGATTTTAGCTTCTCAAAACAAACATTCAAATTAACGTTTAATGACAGAAAACATTCATTATAAAACTGTTAAATGGTATCGTATATTATATTACAATGTCAATATTTTAAAAATACCTAAAATATGTAGATACATATTATTACATAGGTAAGCACCTAAGTTATTGTACAAGGAACCACAGTCTTTTTATAAACAATGTAAATATTTCCGAGTGAGTTGCTAATCACAAAAGCATTACGTGATAATAATTTACTTATTTGTATTTCAAAAACTTAATTATTTCATGTGGATATAGATTAATAATAAATAGTTTTTATCGTATTTTTTTTTCTTTTATTTCACAAGTATCATGTATTTTACATATTACGCTTTATCTACTCGTTTTACGAGTCTCATTGTAGTAATAGTATAAGATCCCACTACTTAAATCTGCATTTATATGTTTTTTTGATGAAACTTATTGCATTTATATGTTTTTTTGATGAAACTTATTTTTATTTTAGATCGCAACAGGTATTTACTATATATAATTTATTACAACAGGGTTTGTCTGGAAAAATTTAGCCGCAATTATCTTAAATAATTTTTTTATTACTATTTTTCGTTGATAAATTGAAGTCATATGTATAGTGAATGATGCAAGGAATCGAAATAAATGTTTATTTTAATAAATAGTTACCAGCTCACAGGTAGCGCAATCCATGGGTTGCCACGCGTGAACAGGTAATACCTTATTGTTTACATTAATATTAACACTTCCGTGTTTTACAAATGAAATATATATATATATATATATATATATATATATATATATATATATATATATATATATATATATATATATATATATATATATATAAAGTTTTTTTTTATCTACATTATAAAACACGGTTGCTTGTAAAATAAGTGCCGGATCCAGACGTTACCATTACTTGAATTAATTTCTTCCACACTGGAGACTATGAGCTATCAGCAAGGGAGACGAAGGGTTTGTGTTGTAGAGTAAATTTACAATTTTTATAGTAGTTTCTTATCAATTGAAATATTTTGTAGTTGTTTAGAAACATTGATCACTTAATTTTCACGAATATCTTAACCACTGCCAATCGATGAGTGTGAATCATAAATGTTATATTAACAATGTTATATGATAATAATACAATTATGCATTCACAATGCCATACTGAAAAATATTCTTAATGACAAATACTTACGAATCCACTTTGTCCCTGGCACTCTGATATGTCTTGAACCCATGATATTTCGCAATCTGGGCGACTTCTCATTCACACTAACATCCAGTTGTACAATGTCGACTAAAAGTGTAATTAGTTTACATTTTTAGAACATAAATAAGAGATTAAAATCATGATTAAACCTTAATGGACGTTTGTGCAACTGTGTGAAACTCGTGCAGTCTTCATCTTCTTTCATGTTGTGAGGAGAGCAATTTAAGACAACAAAAACGTTACATATAGAATTAAACGTATACTGTACATAACATTCCTGTTGTTTATACATTACCCTAATACCTTCTGGTCTTCTGTGAAGTAGAGAGACGACGACATTAGGTGGTTGGTGATCGTTAGAATATTCCAGAACAAACAAAGTAAGTACATGCATGTAAGAACTTTAGCATTGCACACTACTGTGTTTGCTTTGAGACACTCTTTGAAAATATTCCTCGTGTTGTTCAAGCTGAAATTATTAGTATTATAGAAAAGGAATATAGCCCGCGTTTGTGTGTGTATAACGAAAAAAGTTATTTTTAAATTTAATATACACGCTAAAACAAATCTTACATAATTCCACATAATGTAGCTTTATAAATATTAAAAAGAATTTGTTAAACAATTTTTGAAGTAGATCCAGTTGTTTAACACCCAGATTTCTGAATTGAGAATTTAAAATCAAGCAGGTCTCTAACCGTACTTAAGCCATTTCAAACGTTAGTTAAACAAGTTTTCGTTTCTGATTTTAATTTTTAATGGTCAGTTAAGAGCAATTTGGTAAAACTAGGACTTCTCGCCATGTAAAAGGTAAAAAACTTAAGTTATTGAGAGTAGACAGTTGAGATTTTACACTTTTTTCAATTCAGAAACCGGCCGCTAGAGTTGCTTCATTACAAACAAACAAAAAACTATATCAAATATTTTTCTTCATATAATTAATTTAGATCTCTATCTATATAATAAAAAAAAAATAGTCTACTCATATTGGTGCATTGTTCAAAGCCCAAGTAGTTAAAGCATCTATGGAAATCTGAAATGAAGATACTTCCAGAAAATTGTCGTGACTCATCACCATCATATAAAAAATAATTCTTAAAGGCTCTTCGAGTAGCTCGACGGCGTAGTGGATAAGCACCGCGGCCCGCGATCGTTGTCGTTAAGCAACTTTCGCAAGGATTGGTCATGGGATGGGTGACCAAAAATAAATTGTCTCGAGCTACTCCGTGCTTCGGAAGGCATGTTAAGCCGTTGGTCCCGGCTGCATTTGCAGTCGTTAATACCCTCCAATCCGCATTGGGCCAGCGTGGAGGGTCATGGCCCATCCTCCTTAACCATCCAAGCTTAAGGCCTGAGCCCCTGCAGTGGGGATGTAAAAGGGCTGATGATGATGATGATGAAAGGCTCTTCCGTCTGTCCGAGTAAAGAGAACAAATTTTGTATCCATTCTTATCTTTCCAGTTTACTTTCTGGTATCTAGAATTTGTAATCATATTTTAATACTGCCTCATAAAATATATATAAACCAATTTCTTCGAAAAATTGTAACAGTCGAGTTGAGAAACTCCTTTATTTGAATTTTCAAAAGAATCTACGCCGACGTTCTGCTTGTAGCTGTTTATTTAACTACTTATTATGAAAAAGATGCCTCCGCTCACTCTGACTAAAATTCAGTAGCCCTCAAAGCAGCTCGACGATCAACTCGATCTTGTTTTTCAATTCAGCATTTTCATGCTAGCTATTGCTAATTTATATAACACTCTTGAAAACTTAAACTTACTTCGCAACCCACTATTAGGTAAATAAAGTATATTATCAAACGACAACTTCAAACCCGAAAATAAAAATGAGGTCGTTTAAAAAAAGAAACCAACGAAGATATAAATAAATAAATATTAGACAATATTGCGACGACCGGTAGACCTACTTATAACATAACCACTGGTCTAAATGAATTAATTATTTACAATATGGAATATTTTTTCATTAACGTTTACATATGTATATATATATGTTTACATATTATTTGTTCTAAATAAATCTACATAAGAATAACTTGCACGAAAAAAATCTATATAAAGTTTTCGAACAGGAACATTTATAAGTCTGGGTTATGGAGTTGCATTTCACATTGGTAATGGCTCTTTGTTATAAGGTCAGTGGTTATTGGAAATAGCTACTCGTGTTGCTTCAATGCGTCCAATCCATGTTCACGGAAACA